CCCCCATCATTCCTTCTTTTCTTTTGCACAATTCTTGATGATCCGTTCGAAATGCAAATGCAAAAAGCACCCAACAATTCGCAGTGGACCCAATAAAAGGGCATGTATAATGTTTTGAAAGAAACCGCCCCAACGGAAGAGTCCACCTCCTAGTAGAGTAAGGAACCAGCTTTCAGCACCCAAAATCGATATAAAATTACCTCGCTGCAAAAAGGAGAAATTTATGGAATTGAAACTAAAAAATTATTTATTTATAATTTACCAAAGCATCGTGAAGAATACATTTTGCCACTTGCTGCGGTTCGGCCAAGCCTCCGCCACCGGATATAATTTGTGTTTCCTTTGGTTTGGTTTTCTGTTCGTTTTCAAAACCAGACGTTTTAGTGTCCGCTGGCAATGCTAGTGTGACTAATATACCCAGATGACGCGTTTCCATTGCGATCGTCTCGGCCATGCCACGCACAGCGTATTTTGAGGCGGTATACGGTCCATAGCCATAAATGCCAAACAGAGCTGCCAGCGATGAGGTGAACACAATGATACCTTCGCGCGCTTGCTTCATTTTTGGCAATACATAGCGTGTGCAATTGTAACTTCCCCAGTAATTTACATCCATTAGCTTGTGCGCATCCTCTACAGATACATCCTCGTATACGCCGCAAATCGCCATACCAGCGCAATTGACTAACATATAGATATCTCCAAACGCTTTTTCCATTTCAGCTAGAGCATTTGCGACATCGTCATAATTAGAGGCAATATCTAAGCAACGGTACTGAAATTTTTGTTCAGGAACTTGACGTATGACTTCCATTAACGCCACAGCACCACCTAAACAGAAAGATAAGATAAGAATTGTAAAACTATTTTTGAAACAGCCAATACGTTAAGATACCACTCACATGGTACCAATGAACGACGTTTTTTTAATTAGTTAGTTTAACTTTTAAACATAATAGTGATTAATTAACTTGCTTATTTTTTATAACATTGTACAAACATACATATATGGTGAATGCTATAGTTCGTACAAAAACTTACTCAGTAGTTTTTCATCGCGTGCAATCACGGTGACATTGGCTCCCTTCATTGCGCATTCCACAGCCAGGCAAAGTCCAATACCGCGTGAACCACCCGTAACAACCACATGACGACCAACCAGCATTTTTGGTCGCTTACGCATCACGAACACGTACACACCAACATGCGCCAAAACGGCAATCGTTATCCACAACCATATTTCCAATGTAAACTCCATAATAACTAGAATGTATATCAAACAATATTCTCCCATTGTTAATATAAACACAGTAGAAATAATTGCAATACTCTTACCCGTTTTAAACGCTTTGCGATTAGAGCAAAGGAAGTGAAATTGCTGTAAAACCACTCTCCTTTGAATTTAGAAAGTTGAGCTTTCCCTGTTATCAATTACTTCACTTCCGACTGTTGTAAATGAGTGCAGACAGAAGCGTCATTAATATTATAATATTTATGAAAAATTGTTGATTATTAAGACGTTTTTCCAAAATCTTTTCGAAGGAGAAATGTTAGAAAATAAAAATAAAGTGAATTTGATTTTGTTTTCACTAGAAATGGTCAGTGTTGCCACTGTTAAGTTCTCTGTTAAGCTACTTTATATTAAAAATGCCAAGTTTATGAAGAATTCAACCAAAGGATGGAATTTTATACTCTTTCGTTCCGTTGAAAGGGAATCGTCTTTTTAAGTTAAGTCATGGATTATTTTGTAGACAGCCATACTAAAATTGAATCAATAGTGCAAGACCTCGTTCGATTAATATTATTTTAATAAAATCCTTTAGTTTGAATTCACTTGCAAAGTGGCAACTTTGGAAATGACAGTAATGTAGTTGCTCCCGCATTCAAATTTCATGCAAACTTCAGGAACAGGTGATCCAAATGCTCAGTTTTCCTTCAAGGTGCAAAAAAACGTAAGTACATAGTACACTTGATACAAACATCGCGCTGCTGACAGCTGGGCAGCAATAAATTTTATCCTGTGGAGACGGCCAGTTAGGAACGTCTGTTTCATATGACTGCAATAAATTACAATTACAATTACAATTACTCTAAAGAGTTCTGCGAAATGAGAAAATACCTGTCGAGTAACAAAAATGATAGTTGAAAAGCCTTGGACGCTAGGCTCGTTACTATGATCGTCTCTTTGCTCGCCGCTCCACTAAGCGCTTAGCCTCATAAACAAAAAATGCTTTGCACAAGAGACACTCTGTGTTCCGCAAGAACAGCCAACTTCACCCGATTTTCGCTCTGTGTATTTAACCATAGGGAGCAAAACACAAAAATTAATAAAAAAAACTTTGACAACTTCAACGAATTTTTCGCAGACGCTTTCTTGAGTGGTTGACCAGCCTAGAGAAATATAGTTTCGCTCATTAAAAACGTTCGAATTGCAATGAATTCCAGCATAACAATTGAACGTAAGCGTGTTGATTGCAATTCGTTGCCGAAAGGATGGCAGCGGGAAGAAGTGCTCCGTAAGTCTGGTATATCGGCTGGTAAAGTTGATGTCTACTACTACAGGTAATGCTTAATAATTATATAGCATCAAATTAAGTAAAAAATAGTCTAAAATAATGTATTGTATCTAATTTGTCATGTACTTCCATCTCCCAACACCCTTACCTTACCGCTCATATTCACTTGTACAACGCACGCACTGTCCCTCTGCGCCCTCACACTAACACAAAAAATGCGTTCAACTGATACACTAAAAATTTAAATGAACACAAATCCTGCACGTATTTCGCATATTCCCACAAATTACCACTATGACCCTGCTTAAACTATCTAAATATTTCGCTGGCGTCCAGCCCAACCGGAAAGAAAATCGAAAGTAAGCCACAGTTGGCGCGTTACCTTGGTGATGCGATCGACATTGGTGCTTTCGATTTTCAGAGCGGCAAATTCGTGCGCCACTTGCCACCGCCATCGATTTCGTTATTCCGTTGCTCGAGTGTAACAAATAGCAGCAGTAGTGGTAGTGGAAGTGGCAGTACATCAATGCCACCACCACCCCCCACACTGCAGTGCTAGTAGCACTACATCCCTATACGTGTGTTCCTCCTCATCTTCTTCACAATTACCAAGTACTACAAATGCCAACATACTACAACCACCAACTTCAACAACCACATCAAATACGCTAAATGCATTAAAGCGCAGATACAAGGCGCAATCCCAATCCCAATCACAAACTCAGAATCAATCACAGACCCATGGTATACAAGGCATACATACGACTGCCATTAGTAGCAGCTGTGCCCCGTCAAGCGCATCTGGCGTTGCAACTACATCGGCTGCGAGTTCTCGTCAGCAATTAGAATTCAGGTAGAATGGCAAAATTAATCTTTTGTTTTTATTTGATTTGATGACGAATATACATAAATATTAACGTGTTCAAGTTATTGTTAAAAAAAATAGAGGAAAAATCGACATATGTACATATGTAATTACGGTAATCATAATGCTGTTGCATGCTCTTGATTTGCTTTTGTTCTGGTAAATATGACATCTTCAATTGAAACAACTGCAGCATAAGATGACAGATTATGGCTAGATAAAAAAAGAAACGAAAACTAAATTGGAAAATGGCGAAAAATTATGATAAATTGGCATTTATTGGCTATCAATGTTACACCAAAATACGTCTGTCCAGCAAAGTGCTAAATTACCACATCTGTCTGTGTTGTATATTATGTTTTCCAGACTTTTGGTGCTTTTCTCACTTGCATGCACATAGTTTTGTCTCATCGATGAGCGATTATTGGCCATTTATGTGTTAAGATGTTTCCGAATCCTAAAATCGTACCACCTTAATAATTAACCATATACTTTTACATATTTCTGTCATAGTCGCGCCCCACGCACAGACGCTTCACTGGTGCCGCCTATACGTCAGACCGCGTCAATTTTTAAACAACCAGTAACTGTAGTACGTAATCATGAGCATACAAAGGTTCGAAATGATAACACCAAACAGACAAGTGGCCAGGAGAAACCAAAGCAAATGTTCTGGGAGAAACGATTAGAGGGTTTGCGCGCATGTCATCCTACCGGCGAAGAATTTGAAGATATCGTTTTGCCAAAAAGTATACGCACCATTGGTCCAAATGTTAGTGAGCAGACCGTACTGCAATCGTTGGCTACCGCATTGCATGTGCTCAACGTGCCTGTTATGGGACAAGCCTCCACAAAGACTGAGATGAATAAAAATGCTCCGGCATTTTTGAATCCAGAACAACCACTAATGCAAGCTGTTCTAGTGTCAGAAGACGATATACGACGCCAAGAGGATCGGGTTAATGCGGCTAGAAGAAAGCTCCAAGATGCTCTTAAAACTTAAACTATAATTATATTAAGTTCATCTTTTGTTAGCATATTTACATAACTGAAATCTAACCTTTTGCTACTAAGAAATTTAGTTAATTTTAAGGTATGCGTTTATGTACATATATCGTCGTTTAAAGTACAAAACCGCGTATTTATTTTCTAGAGAGTAAAAATACTCATATTTCAAAATGGTTCTCTTTGTTATAAAGTAATCGAATTTCTGGCTAGTATATTTCAGGACGAATGGATAAGGATTGAAGCCAGGAGCTTGTGTGAGCATATCCAATTTTTGGCAGCAAATTTCAGTTACGCGGTTTTGCGGAATGACGATACGCGGTTTTGTACTTTAAACGACGGTATGCATAAATGCTTGAATCATGTCTTCAAATAACTGTAGCGTCTTAATACATTTTTTTTTTTGATACAAATTAACTTGTGTTTTTTATTTTGCGTAAAATCGGTTTGAAACACCGTGAAACATCCTTGTAATTAATTTTTCAAATTCTTACATCCACAGTTTTTTCAAAGCTTTTCTTAATTTCCAAATTTTTTATTTATGCTTTTATGATTTTTTTTCCTTTGGATAAACTAAATCCTAATGATGCTTAAACTAACTTCTAGCTGTAGACTGGAACCTTTATCTTGGATTTTCGGCATAATGAGCTCCTTGTATACTTCTAACTAAGAATATTATTTTCAAAGCATCCGAACGTTCCACGCTTTGTTCTTTTACGAAAGATGGACGTCCTTTTTCTTTTTTGGTAGTTAATCCATTTCATCGTCTTCTAACGCTTCATCATCTTCATACACCAAATCATTGTAATAACGTCTCGAACTGGAGAACTAAAAATAAATAAAATGTCGAAAAACACACAATAGGCATTTGAAAAGAGGATTTGGTGGTTGTGAGGTGTAAACGTAGAAATATTCTCTGAAGAGGTAACTTTCATGTTATTTGCTTTTCAATAAGCAAAAACATATTAGCACTTCTACATATGTATGTACACTCCCAGTCATTTGAATAGCACGCCCGTTTGATCCTCAGCATGTACAGTCTCCTTTTGTTTGTTTAATATTCATTAATTTTTTATAAAAATGTAGCACGTAGTACGTGTGAATCCGATTTTAAAATTTTATACAAATTTAAAAAACATCAACAAGGGGGAGTGTTAGGCTAGTGACCTGCAGTGCATAAGTTAATAATATTTAAAAAAAATTTCGGGTACGTAGGTTTGTTGACATGTTTTTTAAATTTCTATAAAATTTTTAAACCGAATTTACACGTAGATTGAATCTCATAAAAAATTAATGAGTCGCGTTAATTTCTTCATGATCCAATGAACGGATCTAAACCAAATTAGTATGGGACCACCTCTGAGGTACCGCCTTTTCTTTACAAAAAAAAAAGAATTATATATGTCGGTTAACGTAGTCCAAAGTTATGCCGTAACATACATACATGCAAAAGTATTCCGACGAATTGATAATCTGCTCCTTTTTTTAAGTTTGTTAAAAATTAGTGAATATTAAACAAACAAAATGAAAAATGTAAACTGTACATATGTACATACTGAGGATCAAAAGGGTGTGCTATTCAAATAATTGGGAGTGTAAATATATGCATATTTTGATGTTTATAATTGTATAGTTAACTTTATAATTACTATTCATTACCTTCCAATTGTATAACTATTGCCAAACTTAACGAATAGCTAAAAAAAATATTGATTGATGAAGTGAAAATTCTTACTTTATTACATGCAAGGCATTTTAAATTATATCTTCTTTTAAAATGGATCCAAATCGGTCGATGGGCTATATGATTGCGATGACTATACATTGCAATATTAGTTAAAAATGCATTTGATTAAATATGCATGCATGTTTTATAATTATCAACAACAAACCTGTTTGTAGACACCACGCCAAGCAGCAAAAGTACCCATTGCAACGACGGCGCCAATTGCAGCCAAGATTTTTGTCTTCTTCTCAGACTCCAAGAAATGTCGCTCAGTAGCTGTTAGTAATGGGTCATTGGATGACTGACTTCTTAAGGTTTTGAGTGAATTGAAACCCTCATTTCTGAAGATGTCTTTTGTTATACGATTGATGAAATTCACTAAGTTCTGACAGCCTTTTATGTGATTTTGTAGTGGATTATTGGGCAGTGTTACTTTAAAAAGAATAGCTAAGTACGAATAAACAATAGCATCGAATTCACTGAAGAAATCGCCAAAGAA